TGATTCAGCGTCTGTTTGTGGACAACGGCCAAGCACAGTTTATGAAGATGCCTTGGAAGCAGAAACCTTTTCAGAAGCTCCAAACGCTGATAGGGTTTTAGGGGCGCTTTGGTAACTTCTTCCAGTTGAGCTCGTAACTCGCCTGCGGAAGTTGGCGAGAGGTTACATTTCCAAATAAAAGGCAAGCCTAACATCGTGAATTGCTCTTCTGGTTTCAAGGAGGGAATAATGAAACTTCCAGAGTCTATAAGGGTGGTCTCCAGTACCGTTAGTTTTCTTGAACGGTCCACTGCAATATGGACGGAGGTTGACTTCATCTGGTTGATGGACAAGGCGAGTTTATCACTGAAACGTCGCAGGCGTTTCTGCAGCAAAAACTGGTCCTGAGCAAAGATCAAGACGTCATCGGCGTAGGCGAGATAATCAATTGGTCCTATTGTGGATGTCCATGGTTCAGATGGTAACTCTTGCAGAGCTTCGTCCAGTGTCATGATAAATAGTAGGGGAGAGAGAGGGTCTCCCAGCCTAACTCCTCGTTCCGGATGGCGGCGAACATGGTTGAAACTTGAAGTAGATGATGAGTAGTATGAAACAAGGTAATCCAGTAGCATAGAGGATGCGCCAAAAGCAGAGGCCGCGCGTAGTAAGGACTGACGAGAGATGGAATCAAAGGATTTGGAAATATTAATTGAAGCAAAGGGAAGTGGAAAGTATGAAGGATGCGCATGTTGTATTGGTACATGCATTATCGCAAGTACTTCAAACCATCCGTCCTTACTTAGGAAGCCGAATTGTAGACGCTTAGAAGGAAAAGTAGGGACCCAGCAGTCAAATAGGATTCGATGAAGCAGACGAGTAAAAAGGTAAGTGACGGAAATAGGCCGAAATAACTCAGGAGAAGAGGGTGCATCTGCCTTTGGAAAAAAGGTGCTCCTTGCTGTATTCATGTGTGAAGATAAGGGCGAAGAAGTGTGGAGACTGTTGAGAAACGTAGTTACAAAATAGGGGTCCATCCTCAATACATCCCGTGGTGTGACACGGTCAACCTCCGGTGCGGTGGCTTGCATCTGACGAAGCGCTGCGAGTAGCTATTCTTCGGTGTTGGGTCTCACTAATTCCGGGTTAGTGGGAATGACATTGCTAGGTGGACGGTATTCATGTACTGGAGGCTGAGAAATAACTTTTGCCCACAAAATCGGTAAAACCAGGGATACGATCTTCTTCTTGTAGGAAAACCATCCGCCATCTGCCATCGATAACAGTTGGTGACGCATCTTTACGCCTCGTATGATAAAGACTTTGGATGTGGCCCTGTTGTAAACGTCGGCGTAACTGATTTTTCTGAATAACTGGAGGTATATTTTTGCGTTTTGTCGGCGTCCATCTAGGTGGGAATAGGATGGTACATGCGGCATTAAGCTCCATACTATACTGTTCCCGCGAGATGTCGTCCGGCGGGGAAAGCAGCATGTTGAGAAGCAGGGAATTTGGTTCGTTATTGGTGTATCAATAGTCAACCCAAAATATACTGCATTCAACATCAGTAAATGCAAAGCGTTTTTCCTCCGACATCAGAGCAGCTACTCATACCGGCTCCGAACGAATATACTACAACGATCCACTCTCAAACGAGACTTGGGCGTCCTGGTTCCATATGACTTGTGTTGCTCCAGGCAATCCGAATAGGCCTCGAAGACTGGGAACCAACACGTCGGGCTGGTGCGACGGGCGTTTGGACAAATAAACATCTCCATATTTCGACAAATACTCAGTGCGTATGTTCGCTCCCAATGTCGAGTACGCCATTCAAGCCGGACATCCATGTTTGAAATATGACCTTAATGTACTGGAGCAGCCGTGACATATAGCATCTAAGAATGTAATTGGAATTCGCAATCTTTCATATTAGGAGAGGCTGCAACGACTGGGACTGTTCAGTGGAAGCTATCGCAGACTACGAGGCGACCTGATCATGGCATACTTTATTCTGCGAGACGCACATCATGAGTGCCCCCCTCAACTGCGACTCAGTACTAGTGCAACCCTGAGGGGCCACTCATTAAAACTCGCTGTATAGTATAGCTGCCTGGAGTGCCGCAGAAATTTCTTTTCCATTCGTGTCTGTCACCAGTGGAATGGTCTCCCAGAATCGGTCGTTTCCGCACCGACACTAACAGTATTTAAAAGACGGTTGGACGATGCACTCATCCACTTACACTTTGTCACTAAGCACTCCTTTTCCATCCTACACCTGGAGTTTAGCATGGAGTTATTTACCGTTAAATGTGGGTGCTGTGAATCAAAACGGATTACAGGACTACGGCGGAGCAAACGATACGTCCTTATTTTCAAATTCGAAGTACTAACTGTTTTACTATCATTATTATCATTATTGTTGTGTCAATATCCCCAACAACTGTCCAACGGGACTTGTAAAGAAAGGCTTTCTTAATCGGCATAAATTCATTGTTCATTGTTCCAATCTGTACGCTTCTATCTGTTACCGAAGCCAACGTGATCATCCTATCAACTGAACAATGGCAGCGAGAGATATGACGACTTGCGGTGCAGACACAAATCCTTTAGTATTTTATAGTGTGTGCTTATTAGCTTTCACTTAGTAAACTCATTTTAGCGCCAACCAGTAAACGACATCATTTGTTTTATAACTGTAGCCATAAACGTCACGAAAGATGAAAACTGTGTGGTTGGGTTTTTGACAGAAATCTCGTTATTCAACGCCACATTCGAGGTCCCTATGACGGCAGCTCAGTAAATGCCTTCTTCTCGCTCTGCGGTACACAGAGTAGACTTCCGACTTACTGTGCTAGCCAATAATGTTTGCAGTACGACTTAGACTCCTCGAAAAAGTAATCTTTGTTCTTATGTACAGGTTATATCGGCCGTGACTGTCTTTGATAGCTGATTATATCGTTTGTTTTGCTTTACCTATTTAACATTCATGTAGTGAGAAGGTAACAATTTCCCGCTTGACCTGACACCTTAACATGAGATGACTTGTAAACTATATTCCATTACGGTCACTTCAGTGCCAAAAATAGCATCGTTTGTAGATGCAGCTAACCAATGGATTCAGTTTATTTGTAACTAATAATGTCCACTCACACTTTTTAAAACTGACAATCTGACGTGCTAGCATTTGCGTATGCTTTCGACTATGCTTTCGACTGATATGTTTCAAAATTTTTATACAAATATATAATCAGCTTTGTTAATTTTTTTATGTCACTCGCTCGGCAGTACGTGATCCAGTCAATAAAGCGGATCCGAACTTGTTCCCCGGTCACTCTCATACAAACACTGATTTTGTAAACTGCCGTGGATTGTAAGCTCGTTTCGAACCATCCAAATTATACTGGCTATGCGAGTGAAATACACATGGTTGGTTGCTAACTAATAAATGAATCATATACTCTTCTACGTTACAGATTCCGACTGAGTGATCTGATCATTATGAACGCTATCTCAGAAAACAAGTAAATGTTTGTTTTATACAATGGAGCCTAAACGCAATTTTAAGGTGACTGGTAAGTTGAAGCCTTAGAAATTAGGAAAATTGGAACAGTAACGAAATGAGGATTTAATCAGTTATTCAAGTAAAATATTACGGCCATCCATGGAAACGTCTACAGGACACCTGCTCCATGCAGGATATGCACCCGATGGGTTTCGCCCGCACTTCCTCACTCCAGTTTTCAGTCTGCCGGTGTCGCAAATCAGCAAGTCGCTCATTGCATGTTTGACATTTTCTAGGCTTGGAATTTAATTGCGTTGAACCAAATTTAATCATATCGAAACCCGTCTACTTATTCGTAATCAAAAATTTAAGCCCTATCAGTGTTACAAATTGCTGTGTGGATTCACGGCTCTGGAAAGGGAAGACCTGACCGTGACGGCCAACCACTGTCCTCTGCACCGGCAATAACCTGCACGGCAGTGGAAGATGGGTAGGGCTACAGCGCAGTTAGGTTTCAATTCCTAATGGTCGACTGTCGTCCCTCATGGCTCAGTGGCATATGCTGCTGTCTAGTTGGTGTTAGCCTCTAGCAGTCATGGGTTCGGTCCCCAGTAGGGGACCGATGGATTCGCATCCTAAGGCGCCACAGTAGGAGTTTTCCCGATTGGTAGCTTACCTATGCGGCTTGGAATCTAACTTCGTTGAACCAACTTGAGCCATATTCTATGCCTGTTTTTTACACATGCTGTGTTCCATGCCATGGTAATAAGAGCTTTTATTAGGTAATCATATTACTTGTCTAGGGGATTGTAAATAAATTTGTTAAAAGATTGGAAAACGATCGGCCAAAATGCATTTCCAATTATATCATAGCGCTATGCGTTTTAAAAAGGTTATACAGTGGATTCAACGTCTTCTTCCACGAACAGTATTCTTGCAAAACATTCCGTTATGCTTATGATCTCTTTTCAGCTTCGTTTTGAAAAGCAAGTTCACTGAGACGGACGGCACTTTCTTTTGCACGGTCGGCTATGTGAAAGTCAACAGGGATTGATCTGTTATGTATCACAACCCACAAACAAAAATTTCAATCCACTGCCTTCTCCACAAGCTCAACGGTTGCCTAACCAAAAGGTTGTACCCTAGCACAAAGATAAGCGTACCCAAGGTTTACTGCTGCCTAGTCCCTTATGGATGACACTACTGGCTTATGCTTTACAGAACGCCTAACAACCGTCCAAGAGTAACTGTGATTTGTACAACCTGTAAGTTGATCCCCTCTGGGAAGCAATCCGATAACAAACAGGGGGACTTAGATGTGTGAAAAATAGCTATTCTAGAAACCTCTAAACTCCTGATTATCACATATACTAAAATTATTAAAATAAACAACTTTCTATATAAGAAACACAGATTCATTTTATGTTTGATTCCTGGATTCCATATTTGGTGTGTACTTGACCACATTTGATCACCCACATCACTACTGTCTGCGAGAATTTTACCTTAAAAGTGCACTCACCCTTTTTCCCAACGTAACGGCTATCCGCAGTAAAGGGATTCAAATAATTAAAACTGGCCTCCTCTATATTCTCCAGGTATCGCAATGTTTCCTTCTGGAGTAATTCCTGTGGAAAATACTCCGGCAACTTTTCGGCTGCATCACTTTCCATTTGTGGACAGACATGAAGGAGAAGCAACGATATGAATATTCCACTGTATGGGGGATAACGTGATATCTGCCACGCGATGTGTGATGGCATGTTACCCGCTAAATGATCTCAGTGCAACCGACACATTTGTGGCGCCGTTTGCGAGTGGTTTCACCGTAATCAACATGTGTGCAAATGACCCCCCAGTCTCGAAAAGCTCGCAGCTTGTTTGACCATTGTAGCGATTGGTTGCGGCAATTCAGTCAAAGTGATTTGGTGCACGTGTGGTGTCCTTGTCATTTCGGCCAACGCAATGATTCTATCCATAAACTATGGAGCAGCTGACGGTCGGGGTTTAAGAAAATTAGACTGAAAACTTTGTGAGCTTTTATGAGAAACGGTATATTTCTACTCCATCATTACTTATGCTGAGGTCATTTAAGTTTCGCTTGCTGATAGATTTTGAGATTTCTGTGTGCCAGTGGAGCCGAGCACGAGAAGTTTGCATTTGATGACAGCAGATAATTGATGATGATGGTGATGATGATAAATGGCTAACAAATATCTACTCACGTGGAAAAGGTAATCACATGAGTAGGGAGCCTGATCTGAAACAACGGTTATTTTCTTCAAAATTGACAGGAGTTAGCAATAATTCAAAACCGCACACCTGAGCACAAACTAGCTCGTAACTGCAACATATGAGAAGGAGCGAACACTTGTTCCACTATTCGGATAACCTGACAACCTTGTGTTATGTTTGCTAGGTCATTAGTAAATTTGGATGTGAATTTGCGCAACATGAACGTCTTAATCCACAAAAAGTACGCACTGTTTTATAAGCAAGTACCTAAGTTTGTAGCACAGTTCTTCATTTAGGCGGTAAAAGTTTTAGGTAGATTTACCGTGCATTGTAGTCAACACTAAGTGACAAGTTTCGAAATATTCCCAAATCTGTCTTAATGTAAATTTAGCCGAACGAAGGGGGGAAATTAATAGAAGAACAGTACTTCCGTTTTCAAAACCGAGGTAACTAAATAGAATCCAGGGACCACCCATTCCAATGAAGTTCATTGTGCGTGCTTAATGTTGGATTATACAGTATTGATCACGGGATACGCCGTTATGGGAATCGCGCTCGATGGAAGAACTGGACGAAATTTGTATCCCTCAGTGCGATGTTTGTTTTTGGCTGTCGAACTTGTCAATCACGGCTGCGCTGGATTCCTGTGACCTTTTTCAGGTAAAAGTACCTTCGCCTCGGATGTACGATGACGATATTGGTCCGGGCAAAATAACTCATGTAATGTACAGCTGGGTTATTTTTACACACAGAGACTTGCTTTTAGGTTTGATGTCTGACGTACATGTTTGGCGGAAAATATCCAGTTTTCAGAGATGGTGTTCATGCTGGTTTTTCGGCTATTGCGGGACCAGCTAGTTCCTGTGGAGTCAAAAGCATTTGTTTCCAGATTTGTTTGTTCTTGTGACTTTGTAAATACATGAGTGACACAAGCTGGACCGTCCACAGCATCAAGCACAATCTCCCTGAAAGTAGAGGACTGTGGGTATGTGCTTAGGATACATGTTTAGTACAAAAACTGCACCGCTAATGAAAAGTTGGCATAATGCAATTGCCGGACTTTACGTGACATTTGCCGAGATGAATCAAATTCAAACGAAGTCATTTTTGAGACGGCCTTTGAAACAAACACAACGCAGGTAATCTTATCCCGTGAGGATAAAAAAGTACCTTGGATACAGGAACTTAGTAGGTGCTACTCGGGTGCCGCGACTGGTTGGACCTAGCATATGATGTAATACAAAGGGTAAATAAAGGACCTTACACTTCAATGTTTTGGGTTGTAGCCGACTAGGACGACAAGACACAACTCATAGCTCATCTGCGCAGTAACATAAAGGCATATAAATCGGATCACTCCAATGGGTAAATGTCGATGACACTGAAAGCAAAGGTGAATTCATTAGATTAAAAATTGGTTGAACACTGGATAGTCATAGTAACAACCGAAACTCGACTGATGGAAGGTATTTGTAGGAAAATTCGCCTTGTGCACAACTGACCTGAGTACTGACCCACACATCTGTCAGAGAGCTGATGCCGAGAAAAAATATCGAGGAATAAAGCTGTGAATTTTAGACTAAGTGTTAACAGAAATTAAGAACAAAATTGTGCTTGCATTCGTATGAAACTTTGGTGATCACGTACGGCATGTAAAGTACCACCATCTTGCCAGTTGTCAAATGATAAGCGATTAGGTATCATCCCGCGCTTGGACATGCCTGAGATCGTCGCGCCACCGGATTTTGGCAAACTCGCGGTTTGCTCCGAAGAGCTGAGGCCTCTGCGCACAACCAGATTCTCTTACTCCCCATATATATATAACTATATTATTATTATAAATCCATAATTACATATATACAGCGTTGTGGAACTGCGCTGGATCAACTTGAAAATAGGCTGTAGCTTAGTGGCTCTATGGTCTGAAAAGTAATCGAAGCGCACAAATGCAACATATCATTGTGCTCAACAACTATCCTTCTTGCCATTTCCAGCGTTTATGCTTCTCTGCAAATAGTTTTGACCATGACCTATTAAATGGAGTAACCTCTAGGCTGCAGCACATGTCGCATAATTTAAATGTGTCAAATCGTGAAAAAACCAACTTTTCAAAGATCCATTATGGATGTAGAATTTCTGAGCAACGACAGCACAGCTTTTATAATCATAGAATTGAAGAGTTTTAAGGAAAATTCCTAACATCTTTTGTGAGACTGAGTAGGGTACTAAACTGTGATCATTTAAGTAGCAGTAGAGCTCCAGGAAAATAAAAATAAAAGAATAAACCGCCAGCTGTACGCCGTAACGGCGCTGCGTTGCCACGCGCCCACCACCAGTCGCGCGTGGGACGAGTATACCGCGAGAACGCCCGCCCTTACTCGGATTACAACCGGTGACCTTATGGTTGTAAACCAGACGCGCATACCACTCGGCCACCGGTCGACATCCGTGAGGTAGGTTACTCAATCAGGAAATTGCGGCAACAGTGGTCGTAATCAAAGCACTCTCGTCGGATTTATTAAAAAACAAACTGAGACTAGAAGCGCAGATGACAAGCACGGTTCTGATTGAATCAAAAGTAAGTAGACAAAGATAACCGGACATTGTTGAGGGTATGGTCCAGTGAAAAGAAGCATACATATCTTCAGTTGCTTACAGAATGAGAAATGTTTCGGAGTATGCGTGAATCTCAGCAGTAAGAAGACGGTTCTTGGAATTCATTTTGAGAGGCTGCAAGGCCCAAAGAGTCCACTGTCCTCGGATGCACAGTTGCAACGAAAACTGGCATGGCCAAGAAGTTAAACATATTGAAGCAAGAAGCATTGGGAGAGTTTTATGTGGGGATCACAGTCATCTCTGCGATTTTTGGAATTATTGCGGCACACTTGTCAGTAGGTTTCCAGGAAAAAATGAATACACATCACAGTGTCTCAGTCTCTCTCGCTGGAACCCGACATAAATCATGGTTTCGGGTTGCATGGTCAACGACAGAGTTTTCAGACCCAAATCGTTGATTATATAGCAATGGAAGTCAACGAATTTCTACCTATGCCATTCAACTCCCCCTACTACTCCTCTGTAAGCAGTACGCAGACCAAACTGCTTATAATGCCATGAGTTAATTGGCGGCTTATTTTGGTAAGCTCGTCGCTTGGTGAGGGGGCTATCCTGTCCTCTGCACGGCAGTAACGTGTAAGCCAGTGAATAGTGAGCGGCGTTATATCACATCCAGTAACTTATTTAAGATGGTTGTTGCCGTCCTGCGTAGCTCAGGGGTCTCAACCACGGACTGGCAACAGTCAAGTTGCGGGTTAGAGCCCTACCAGGGGTCCGATGGAGTGCGCACTGCTGATGATTCCCAAAATGATAAAACGCGTGTGACGGCTGTCTGACTGGGCCTAGATATGATGCATTTCTACCTATAACATTCAACTCACCCTACTACTCCTCTGTAATAAGTGGAAATTCTCAAAAACCGTATATTACCATCAGTTAAGAAGCCATTCAAGAAAGTATAGTTCTTTTAAGAAGACAATGCACCACTCCATCCTGCGAAGACGGTCGTTGAATGGATGAGAAACAAAACTGAAAAGGCTCGAAACACAAACTTAGTCACAGATGTATTTCCCATTAAACTTTGTAGTACAGATTAACACTAGAACTTTTAAAGGAAGAGCGACCCTTAAGATTTTTAAAACCGTGTCATCACTTGAGAATCCTTCCACAAGCTGGTGCATGCAACGCTTGCGAAATGCAAAGCTGAGTAATAAAGACCGGAGAATTCAATACAAGGTTCAAATCTGGGCCAATTGAACAAATAAAATTATGTTTATAAAAACTTATGGGGCTACGTTATGCTAAGCTACTCTAGTGTAAGAAGCCTTGTTTGTTTGCGGATGCTCTACAGGTGGTTTGCACGTTCTCAAGTTCTCTGCTTGCTGCTGAACCTAACAATATCCAAAGCGACTTGAAAGCCTTTGAGAGCTGGGCTAATATGTGGCAGATGTGGTTTGCAACATCGAGGTGTAGTATCCTGGCGTATGGATGTTAGATAGCAGCAGAAGTTTTCAGGCTTCATGATACAGTCATTCCCATCAGCCAGTCTGTTCGTGACTTAGGTTTAAGTTATTCTAGTTCGTTAAACTTTAGCGAACATACAAATCATATCGTGAAAAAGGCTAAGCAGTCAGTCGGGCTCAAATGCCACCTACTAACCTTGAAAGAAACCAGACTAATTGCTTTCAAAATCAGTATCAGGCCTTCGCTCGAATATTGCTGTGCTAGGTTCACTAATTTGCGAAAGGGTGACTTGAGAGCCATTGAAAACGTCCAATGCACCTTTACGGAGCGCATATTTGGCTATTCAACCGCTTTTCCATACAGAGATAAGTGCAATCAGCTAAATTTTGTGGTTACGAAGAATGCAATTAAATCTGTGCTCCCTCCACAAACTAGCTTGTTGAAAAGCGTATGTTGGTACCTATCAATTGCACTTTCGGGACAATACCATTTATGAACTGCGAGCTAG